ATTTACAAATACTGTATTTTTCTTTATCCCTACCCATGTCTGTTGTGGCTTAAGTAAATGAAAGGTCCTCCTAGATCTTGTCCTATGGATTACAAACGACAGTAGCAGAAGCATGTACGTGCTGAACCAAGGACAAAAGACATAGAAATAAGATTGTTACCTTGAGGGAATACTCAGTAGCTACCAAAAAAAGGCCATTGCTCTAAAGTGTGGGGCTTGTGTGTGTTTGTTTGCATAGTACTTAAAAACAAAAAAGCCAACCTCCAAAAAACTCAGTACATATCATGGCTTTTTTACAGTAGTCTTTACAATATGCATGTTCTTCTGAATAGCTTTTTAAAGTAGCGGCACTCTGCAGGGTTAAGAATTTCCCTTCTGAAAGAGATCTAGGGAACTTTATTTGTTCAGTGGCCTCAAAATAAGATCCAGTGGGAGAAATGGCAATAGTAATAAAATGTCTGCATTACTAGAAAGATAAGGCGGTCTGCCTTTCTTTCTAACTCTTCAATTTTTATTAGTTACTTTATACCATGAAAAATGTTACTCTGCTAGCAAAGAATGTTTTTTAGGACCTAGATGGCCCTTTCAGATTTCCAGGGCTCTCCAGACCAGTATGATTTCTTTTCCTATAACACTTGATCAGTTCTCAATTTTTGTTACCACTCTCTAAATCTCTTCCTATTCTGGATAAACAGGTGAGACAAATTACTGGAGTACTATAAAGCTTTCAACACTTCACAGGCAGCCAATGAGCTCAAAATAGAATTCTGACTTCAGCCACGGAAGAGCTGAAGTACGATTCGACTATTTAGGATGAGTCAAATACTTCTTCAGGTTGCACAGGGGTTAGCCACAATTTGACACCTCCTTGCGATATGGGGAGCGATACCATGCTACCAGAAGTAAGGTCAAAGTGAAGAGAAGCATGTGAGAATTCCAGAACATAAATGTGGATGCTTCTTGCTGTATATCACTACTGTGAATCAATCTTTTCAGTTCAGCTGATATTGAGCAAAGATTTATAACTGTTAATCCCTAATAAAAATATTGGAAGGAAACTTTATTATGGTAGACTCCCTAGTTGAAGGGGAGAGAAGGATGAGAGGGGAAGCTATCCCTTTCTTTATGTAGCACATCTGTTGTTGTTTAGACACTGATGCTGAAAAATAAGGAGGGGAAAAACAAGGAGGAGGAAGAACAGTCCTGTAGTTCATACCAGTCAGGAAGAAAACCTCATGTGAAATTTGAAAAGCTTGACTAGGAACTCATTGATGATTTGGGATTTTGCTATCTTTCCCTTCCTTTGAATGCACCCCTCCTTTTTTAATGAGGCCCGTAGCTCCCCTATGCTAATTACTCTTACACAATTCGCAGTTCTCATAAATTACTGTGTAAGTTTCAGACTATGTAGAATTATTTCCTTCATAGTATCTGGTCTGTCTTTGATACCACTCAGTTACATATTTGGTTTAATTTTTCATCGTGTACGTGGTTAGTGGTAACACTGTAAACTCCTGTGGGGTTTTCCTGAGTAAGGCGATATGATTTGTTCACATAATAGACTGCATTTTCCATCTGCCGCCTTATACTAAAATGTTTAATATTAAATTAATATTAAATTATTCCAGTGGAAAGAAGCAAAACCGGAAGAACTCATGGATTCAAAACTTAGGTGTGTGTTTGAGCTACCAGCAGAAAATGATAAGCCTGTGAGTATTTTCAGATGCCTATTGAGTGTTTTAACTTAATACCACAGTAAATCATGTAAATGGCATGTTTATACAGACAGCTATATAAGCAAAAGACAGAACCCTCTGTTTCACTGCCTGGATGGCATCACCCTTGGAAAATGCAACATAAACTATTTAAAATCTTAGTGTTGCTTAATGTAACCAGCAGCTAATTTGAACAATGTAAGTGCAACACAAGCACAAAGAAATCTTTGAGTTGATCTATTTTCATTTAGTGAAAGATCACAGGATAAAGAATATTTTTAAAAAATTGAAATACGCTGATTGATGGTCATAAAGCTCAGAGTTTACACTGAAGTAGTTACAACCTCAGCAATATAAATTTGCCTGTCCAGCACTCCCCTTTGCTTCCTTGATACGACACTGATTTTAGCAAGTAAATTGGTAGAAAGCTAGTAAGGAAGACAGAAATGCATTTAGGGATTATATTGCCATTAGCAGCTATAATATTGTAGAATCCTTTTTTGTTAGGGTAATGAATGCATTAATTTCTAACAGCAGAATGTAATGTCAAATGTAGAATTGATAATGGTTTGAATAAACTGAAAAATGTTTCCTAGTATGCGTACTGAAAGCACAGTTGTTCTACCTTGCACTGGACAGGTTGTAATTATGATTATGTGTTTCTATAATGTCACTATTGTAGTCTCACTACATCCACTCTACCCAGTGGATGTACTCCAGACAGTGAACGTTTGCTTTAAAAGTAGGTGCTTTTTCAGGCCAGGTTACTTAGGTGTTTCCCGTTTAGAGGTGTGATGAGAGGAAGGAAAAAATCTGAATTAAATGAAACTTAACAGCTATTTTGTTTAGTTGTAATTTTTTCTATAGTCCCTAACACTCATTAGAGCAATACAAAGCACAGAATCCTATTACTTTATTCATATAAATAAAACCTTCATGTTAAGACTTTGGTGGCAGTTTGGGTGGGGAGAGAGCGGTTTGTTTTTTATAAGAGCCGGGCCCTTTGCATTCTGAAGTGCAGAACATGGAGAGACAGGAAAGGGAGGAGGGTTTGGAGGTTTACAGCTTGTTTCCTAATGGGTTGCAAGTTCCTCCATCATCACAGAAATGCAGAAAGATGGAGAGGTGATAGCCAGCTCTGGGGAGTGAAGAGAGAAGGAACTGCAGCAGAGCAGGTGGGTAGTTCCTAGCAATACCCTGGTTCCTGGAGCAGCTGCTTGTGTTGTGCTTGGGGAGGGAAAGGTGGGGAGAGCACTTAATACTCTGTAAAGGGACTGTGAGCAAGTAAGTTCCCATTCGTATTGTGGGACATGGTCCACAGCTACTTCCTTTTCTATGTATGCAGGGACTGAAAAGTCAGGGTCCTTCTGTCTGCACTTACTGCTGCTGATCTGGTGGTTTCTGTCAAAGGGGAAGTAAAGATTACAGAAAGAAAAGTGGTGTTTATTTCTTTGATACAGGCACGTTTCAGGTGTGCACAGACAATTTTACCCGATTCTCCTCCTAAATATTAGGTGTGTGGTGTGGTGTTAATAACTAACGAAAAATCACACTCTCCTTTTTTTAACAGCATGACATAGAAATAAATAAAATTGTGTCCACAACTGCAACAAAGACAGATTCCTCTGTAATGTCTAAATCAATAAGTTCTTCTTTGGATGACACTGAAGTTAAGAAAGTAATGGAAGACTATAAGAGGCTTCAAGTAGAAGTTCAGAGGTTACGGGAGGAGAATAAACAGTTTAAGGTAAAGAGACTTTTTTTTCAGGTTTACCCCTTTCCTGAAAAAGAATCTTCCAACTTAAAGATTTGGTTACCTGCCTTTGGCACAATATTTTAATATTGTCTATAAATTAAAAGGTAATTTAGGTTTCTTTCTATAAACTGAGAAAAAGTGTTGAAATCAATGCTTCCTTTGAAAGGAGTGTACAAGTCATGCAGTCAAAGAAACTGATTGGATAGTAACCCAAAGTATTGAATTCCCTCTTTTTTTTTCTTTTCCCATCTAATTTTCTCAGTCTGAATTAAGCATTCAGTGTTGGATTTGGCCCTCTTCTCTCAAACTGCTGAGAGCCCGAGAACAGTGTTTTTCAAATACTGTTTTAGTAATTATGCCTATTATATGCAATATAACAATGACCAAAGTAAGACAGATTAATAGGAAATAAGGTTCCTGTCATATCCAGCACATTGCTGTGAAATCAAATAATTGAGAAGCTTTTACCACCATGCTGAAAAAGTTTTTACAGTAGTTTCATTTGTTGTAAATTTCTGGTTTCATAGATAACAGCACGAATGAAAATTTGGAATTTGTGACTGTTGGAGTCCAGCAGAAGGAGCTCTGTTCTGTCAGCTGCTTGGCTGGCTGATACATGAAGAAATTCTTTAAACGTTGGAAAACAGTTTTGTTTTGCACATAGAAATAATACATGTATATAACTGAGACATGACCTTAACTTCTCCTTGTGTTCTTATTTTGCTAGTGTCTCATAGTACTATAAGTACAATATGATTTGATTTTTTTGCAAGTTAGTCTTGAATAAATACTCTACAGGACATACCTAGAATTAAGCTGATGTCTTGCAGTAACATCTTAAAATGGTGAGCTGCTTGTTCCCTTTGTGGAGTGTTAGAAAGATCTGTAAAACATCGGAAAAGAATGTTAAATTACTGCCAGCCACCAGGTGCTGTCAGTGTCAGGCTAGAGTAACTGCCAAAAGGAAGTTAAAATATTTAAAATGAAAATGTGTTTTTTCTAGCAGTAAAATGACTATTTAAGTAAACAACATTTTATTGTTTACAAAAGTCAGTTGTCCCCATCCGGACTTGTAGTGAGGTATCAGGTAGTCTGTGACTTTTAATAAATAAATACAATTTTTTTAAAAAAGTTTTCCTCAAGAATCTTAGGTGCCCCTTTAAATTCAAAACTGAGAAACACTGACATACATTGAGCCTTTTGAATTCCACTTACCTGACAATTTTTAAGGCTGCAGTAGCTTCTATTACAATTTTATTTCTTGAGTGTTTTTTTTATGTATAGACTGGAGGCTTTTGCTTCAGTATCTTATAGTTTTGCACTATAATACTGTATCACATAGTCTAACGCTATGGCTTCAGCTGTATACAAGTTAGGTCACAAAAGGCTCACTTTACCATCTCCTAAAGTGCTCTGTGTGTGGAATGGAGTGTGCTAACACACAGCTGTGCTGCACAACAGGTTGGATTAAGATGTGGGAAACATCATCTCCACTTGAAATGATAATATCTGGTGTTATGATGTTGTTTTATCTGTTGTCTCATACATCTTTAAATCAAGAGAGCTGTCAAACTCATACCAAGAAAATATCCTAATTATTGCCATTAGTTTCATATCAAAATGCCAGCATTAATATGATGAGGGAAATAGATTTCGTTTCAAATACTGTTAAAATTTGCTTGTGACATTAACTAGGGGAATGATGAGTATAATTGCCTTAAAGTTGCATATTTTTCACAACCTATCTTAGTTTTATTGAAAAACATCTTCCCCAACAGCACTGTATTTGCATACAGAACAAGAAAAGCACCTTCATGCAATTCCCTCCATCATTTTTTTTTTTTTAAGTTCTGGAGCTGTCTCCAGACTTCAGACAAGTGTTCTTGCAGGCTTCCTCATTGCTTCCCCTGTTACTGTAGTCAGCCGGAGGAAACTTCCAAGAGCATGTTGTTTCTACTCTGCTAGTCAAGTAGATACAGAATTCCTCTCCTACCTCACTACCCTTTTTTTCTTGGGATTATCTAGGAAATAGAGCTCTAAATTAGCTGTAAATTAGCTTTCACCTGTTTTATTATACTCGAAATAAATATGGTCACTGAATATTTAACGCTTTTTTTCAGTAGAAATAATCAATATCTCTTCCTTTAGGAAGAAGATGGACTGCGGATGAGGAAGGCACCCCAGACAAACAACCCAATATCTGCTTCTGCAGCTGCTGTCAAGGACGAAGGGCTCAGCTCCAGACTACTTGCTTTGGTGGTTTTGTTCTTTGTCTTTGGTGTAATTATAGGAAAAATAGCCTTGTAGAGGCAGCATGCTGGAAATTGTAAATTGGTTTGATGGTTCTGCCATATCATTGGATTAAATTTATTCATAACAATGTTTAAAAAAAAAATTAATGTATGACATCTCACAGGTCTTGCCTTTAAATTACCCCTGCACAAATACTATGTAACATAATCTAGAAAGTTTAAAATGTACAATGAGTGAATGAAAGAGAATATGCTTCAGTGATGAAGGGGGGGAAGAAAATCATGATTTAACACTACAATGGAATATTGTATATGTCATTTTAAACATTCTTAGACCCTGGTACATGTTGCTGGATGACTTCTTTTTAAAAAAAAAAGAAAAAAAAAAAGGAAAAATAGAAAAACCTATTCCTCCACTGCTGGAGCTGGCCCTATTGGATGTTTGGAGCTGGGTTAGGCAGGAGGTGTTGGTAACTTCTGTAAAATACGTTAATCCACCATTCTGATGATTAATTGAACAGTTTCTGTCAGTGTCTTCACCTCTGTGCAAGTTACCAATTTCTTGGCACTTAAATGAATAGTGAGAAGCTGAAAAGAATTGTATGTGGCAACGCTGAATGTGCTAGGCATCATTAAGAGGCATATATTGACTGGTATGACGCTCATTTGGAATAAAGGTCATTGCCTTGTTCTCATAAAGGGACCAAGCTACATTGCTGTTGGTTCATTTAGTTGAATTAAAATGTTATTCAGAGATGTTTAATGCATATTTAACTTATTTAATGTATTTCATCTCATGTTTCCTTATTGTCACAAAATTGACTAATACTATATGGTATGAAAAGGCACCTGTTTAAAGCCAGTGACTAGAACTAAAAATTTGCTGCTGTAGTGATGCGAGATTCTTCTGCCTCCTGGTGTTCTGGGCACTACACAATTGTTGGGAGTTTTGATCATCTGAGCATTGGAGAAACAGTGGTCAGGAAACTGTTTTTGTATGTAAATAAGTCTATCTAGGGGAAAAAAATATTAGTAGTAATCTAGTCCTATGCCGTAAAAGACCAATCCTGTTTGACTATGTAGCATCTTAAAAAAGAAAAAAAAAAAAAAAAAGAAAAGAAAAAATTAAATAAAGCCCCCGAAGTAATGTTTCCTTTGTTACTTTTGTCATGTTCTCACAGTTTTAGAGGAGTGGAGGAAACAGTATTCTCTGACAACTTAGTTTATTTATGACATAAGGAAACTTGCAGCCTTGTTTCAGGATGGATTTTTTTTTTCCAGCCTAATTTTAAAATCAATCCAAACAACCCCATCATGAGCCTGATACACCTAAGTGTTCAGAGTAACCATGCTGACTGCTGAGGTACAAGGTAACTTCCCATTTTTCAGTTCAGTTGGGCTCAGTAGTTAAGATGCTTGATAGAATGTTGAATGTAACATTAAAGTAATTCTGTTTCTAAGCATTCTTTTAGTACAAAATACATAAACTCAGTGTGTTTTAACATGTTGAACTTCATGAAATAGATGAAATAGCTTTTGAGGAGGTAAATGCCTATATATTATTAGATGGTAGGCCCAAAAAACATGGGTGACAGAAGTTTTTGTAACACCTTTCAGCATTAAGATACGTATTTTAAAAGTTACTTCTTTCATTCCTTTATTGTTCCTGTGATTTCTTGAGAAAGCTGTTGGGGCTGCAGCCTGCCTACTACACTCTTGACCATTATATTTGTTCCACTGTCTCAAGGGTTTCCTGCTTTGCAAGTGCAAATAAGTGAATTTTTATGTGAGGTTTAATAAGAAAATAGGAGGAAAAAAATCTTAACTAGTGTGTTCAGTTTATGAACACAACTCTGGAAGTACTTCTAGAAGATTCAGCAGAAAGGAGAGGTGTATCGTTAGCATTTTAAAATGCTGGTGCCTTGTCTGCTCAGGATGGAAGTGACAAAGCTATTAAAGTGTGCCTGTAAAGGGCAGAGAAGATGGGAGATGAACTGGAAAGTACGAATCAGTGAGTTCAGTGTGACAAATTGGGCAGAACTGATCAAGAAAAAGATACTTTCCAGGCAGTAGAAGTTAATGAAAACTTTTACATGAAATGTGTTAAAAGAACCTTTTCAGAAAGACAGGCTTGTAAGTGGTGTTGCAAAATTAGTTTTCATGGCTTTGAAGAATATATTTGAGAGAACCTTTGCTGAGGGGAGGCTGAGCTATGCAGTATTTTTTTGAGGCTGTAAATATCTTGGTCTCACTAAAAAGTGTTATCAGAAGAGCTCAATTCCTAATCTGATTTAAAAAAAAAAAAAGATGCTAACTTTTTTTGAGAGCTTTTTGTTCTGCTGAAAAAAACGTTTAAAAAAGTGTGGGTGTGGTGTTTTGTTTTTTTTCTTTAAATCACTGTCTTTGCAGGGTAAAGCTTTAAAGAAGCTTTAAACTGGTCCCTTGTGAGCGTATCTGTAATAATGTTCCTGGCAAATTTTACGCACACTGTTAGCTACCACAGTTGACTTTGCACAGGCAGCTCCCAGATGAAGGGTAAAGCCAGCAGAATGTCTGTTCTCCTTCCACTGTCCAGTAGTCATTTCTTAGTGATCTGTGACAACTTGGAACTTTAAATCATTTGTGAGCAAAGTTGTTCCTGTTGTTTGCACTCCAGGAGTACAAAGAGGTCCCAGAAAACACTCGCATGCTTTGCTAGATGCTTTACAAATATGTGATCAAGGAGACCAACGAACAGAGGACCTTAGTTAAGGATCTGTTAGTTAAGGATCTGTAGTGACTGTAGCCTGCAGTTGGGGCTGAGCCACACCATCAGTCCTAAACAAGACTTAAATTAACTGCTTATTTTTTTGGACCTTAATGAAGTTCTGAGGTCTTTCCTAACCATTTCGACAAGAGCCTCAACAGACAGTGGCACTGAATTATCTGGGTAATGCTTTGCTTTTGCTGAGCTTAAAATAAAATGACTGATCAGTGGAATCCTTATTACCTGTCTGTTTGACCAGACCCTTCTTTCATGTGCGATAGAAAGAAATCTAAGGATGTTTTTACTTCCAAGGTTCCTAAAAGGCCAGTCTGTAGATACATTGCAGAAATATATTGGATGGATGTTACTAAGCCATCTGGATCTTTTGTAAGTTGTTCCTTACATGATGATGCCAGAGCAAATGTTTTCATGAAATATTCACAGAAAGTGAATTATTCTGGAGGGTGCTGTATATCGTAGGAAGTTACGCATGAAACATAGTTTCTAAATAAGACTCGTCTGGTTTCGTCACATAACACCAGATATTAGAAAACTATAATTGATACATGGTAGTAAAATCAAGTTTTTACTTATTCTAATTGTTGTCCTTACTGTTACTTTAAGATGCCCACTTGCACATACATTTATTGTTAATTTTTGTAAGAGCTGCTTAGCTGTAGAGGCTGCTTAGGTAGCCTTCATTTTGTGGAACTTTACATTCCTGTCTGCACTCTTTGGGCAAATTTGGTGTAAATAGATATCTAAAATATCTTGAAGCCTACTACTGGGAAATGAATGGAAAATGGTTTCTACTATTTTCATGTAGTTACCTACATCTTAAACCAAATACTCCATGCACGAATGATCATAACTGTCGCTCTGCATTGGCAGTTGTCGGCTGTGCGTGCACAGCTGGAGCAGCTGCATACGCAGCCTAGGCACCCAATTTCAAGTTACTGCTGAATAGCCTTAGGGATTGAAGAGCAAGACAGTACCATGTGTTGTCATGTTGAGAGGGACTGATGTACCAGAATGTAATTTTCTAAAAATACCGGACTGTAACAGCTTGATGGTGGTATTCCATGTTACTTTTTTCTTCTGAAATGCTGTTAGGGGGATAAAGTTGAAACCTCACTTTGCAAATCGCTGAAGTTTCTTCTCACCAATAAACTACAAAGGATTTCTCTTTGCTGCACATGTAAACTTGCAATTCTTATTATAATCTTGACTTAGCAGTCAGTATATTTATATAGTGGCGTGCACACAGAAATAGATGGTTAATGTCTTCGTGTACTTGATGTTGCAGTTGCCTAATGAAAGAAAACTATGTCATCCCTTTTCCTTAGAAAATGTGTGACACTTTCACCTCTTAATTGGAACGCTTCCTTAATTCTCGCACACAATAGCGACTTAACTAGTCACTAGTGGTCTACGGTTTTGAAACTATACTTCTCTTTCTCTACATGATGTCCCGAATGCCATATCCTGAGTTCTGTTTTCTCTATGAAGGAACTGAGAAAAAAACACAACCAAAAAACCCCTCCGTTTGCAATTAAAGAACATGTAAAACAAGCACTCTGAACTTCATGTTTGTTGTGGCTGTGTTACAGCTGCAATAGTACTTCACAGCAGCACTAGAGCAGCTTGGGGCTGGAGAGCTGCTTTTTCATTGTTTGAAAATGGGTTAGCATCCATTACTCAAATCCTCGCGTGAGCAAGTTGAGAAGGGACGGGTGGTGAGTGAATTTCAGTGTACATATTTGAGATTAATTTTTTTTTTTGAGTCAGAAACACTAATATAAAAAGAAGAAAGCAATCTGTACAGGAGTGAGACTAGTCCAATACCATATGTGGAAGTTACTATTCTTTGTAATCGGATACATGTCTACAAATTTAATTTCCTAATTAGAAAATATTTGTATAAACCAATGTTTCGGCATTTTAGAAAGAAAAGGAACTACTGAGCAAGGCTGCTTGTTCATGTAGCGAAACCTAGCAGTTCCCTAGATATACTTCATTAAAAGATGACAATGGGATACAACGCTGCTGTTACAGTTAGATAAATAGTGGGATTTATTGTTCAAGCAGGGCAAAGCTGATCCTTTGACCATGTCCAATTAAGATTTCTTTATATTATGCTGACACCTTCATGTATGCTGGATCACTTTGTCTAATGGGTATCCGTGCAAAAGTGACATTACTCATTGTGCTGTTATTAACTTTTATTTTTATTAGCTTCAGAGGACAAAGTAATTGTGTGTTTCTGCTACTCAAATATGCTTAACTATAAAATGTTTGGTTTATTAACGGGTTGATTTTTTTTAACTGGATAGATGTAGATTATTTTTTAAAATAACACAAGTAAGAGCCAGCCAGAAATCTCTTACATGTAAGAGTCTAATCAGCATGCACTTGCACACTTCCAAAATTACTATATACCTGTCATTTACTCCGCCGTTTCCTGTGGCTTCATTTCCTTTTACAGAACTGCTTTCACATTTTTACTTTGAAGAGTAACACTTTTGAAAAACTTTACTAAACTTCCACGTAGATGTTTTTGCCTCCCAGTCCAGTCCCTAACTTGGTCCTGAAGCTTCTGCGTGAGTGAAAACTACAGAAGGAACACTGAGTCTACAAGTACAGAAACAAGGCTGCTTTTCCTTGAAGCAAACTTGAACTTTGGATCTTTCCTCCTATGATCTGTCATTAGAAAATGGCCTTTTCCAGATGGCAAAACAAAAGTTAAGAAAATAAATGAATTAAGAAGAATTAATTGAAGCTGCATATTACAAGTTGACATTATACATCTGGCATTTCTGTTGATGTTTCTGCATCAGTACATTTCATTCCTATTTAATAAGTTCCTAATTTTGTGATTTTTTTCAAGATTTCGAAGTGCCTCTGAAGAACAGACTGTAGTAAAGTATTGTTCCCAGTTTAGCTGTACTTCATTTTTTTTAATCAAATCTTTTTCTTCAGTGGATAAACTCACGAGATTAGAAAAGCCTCTTGAACTCCCTCATGTTTGAGTTGGCAAAATTCCCACACGCAATTATCCACACACAACTACTTTTAAAAGACCTTTATTAAGGCTGCACAAAGTCAAGCACTCAGAAGTTAGGAAATGGCAAAACCAAGTCTGTGCCCTGTTAGTCTGGCCGCTTTTTCCATGTACGTTGCAGTATCTGATCAAGCTTCCAGCACCTGGGCAGAAAGCGAGCCCAGGCTGCCCAGAAGGTGTCTGGAACTGCCCAGTTGTGTGTGCCTGACCTTCTATAATCTTAAGTTCTCTTAAGATACATATAATTAGGGTTTCAAAAGTTCCACTTAAAAAATGGCACTGTGTAACCCACATGCATGTCAGTCGAGTCCTCCATGTTCTGCGTAAGGACAC